TGGCCCCCGGCCGCTGCAGCGATCATGGCCCCCGGCCGCTGCAGCGATCATGGCCCCCGGCCGCTGCGCGGCCCGGTGCCAGGTACTCCACGGCCCGGCACCGGTCCGCGGACCGGGGGTTGGGGATCACTGCTGTAAGGACAGCACCTCCCTTGGGGATTGGTATTTTCCCCCTCTTCATCAACCTTTTGAGCCTCATTAATTTGATCCCCATCACCAAAAGCAGAACTGTTTAATATATTATATACCAATGGTTTTTTTTTCAACCTTGGGAGCTTGAAGATGTGTGAGCTTCAATTCCCGAAATTCCCCAGCCAGCAAATATCTAAGTATTTAATTTTAATACTTAAATATCACTTTTTAATTAAACATTTAATTTCTACTTTAAATATTTATCTAGTCATACCTGGCTGGGGAATGACGTCCACACACACACCTTCAAGGAAGAGAAACACTCGTTTCTTTCCAAGGAAGTTTCAGTGTAACCCTCTCTACAAGGAAGGCTGTAACTTCCTCTCCCACCTTTGCAATGATCCCAAGGGTGACCACGTTTTTAGCTCTATAGCAGGGGTCCCCAAACTTGGCAACTTTAAAACTTGTGGACTTCAACTCCCAGAATTCTGGGAGTTGAAGTCCACAAGTCTTAAAAGTTGCCAAGTTTGAAAACCTCTGCTCTACAGGAAGATTTATAATGCATGCACTTTAACCCGTGTCTACCAACTCCCACCACCCAACATACGCCTTCCTGCCTCCGTAAGTCCCTTCTCTCGCTCAAGTCCCTAAACTTCCCAGGTGACAATTGCTAAACCAGCAGCAAAACTTCCTCTCACCCTCGTAGTGGAGATCCCAGAGCACCAACAGCAACGGAAGAGTCGAGCCAAGCTTGTGAACGCAAGTCCGGGGAGAAACCATGACGGCCCGCCGACTCCCGCGTGCAACCACCGGACTCCTTTGGAAAGTTTACCTCTCCGGGAACTCTTGGAAACTCTTTTAACATTCTAAACCAGGGCGTCCCCGGGGTGGGTCGTGGGAGCCTCTGATTGGCTGGCAGGCCCGCGATCCCGCCTCTCGCTAGGGGAACGTGGAAAGCAGGAGAGGCTACTGTCAAAAGTCTCCGCCCTTTTCCGCCCGCGAAGGCGCGCTAAGGGCAAATGAAGCCGAGCTGACGAAACAGCGCCCTCACTTCGCCCCGAGCTCATTCCTGCCGGTGTGCGGCTCTGCAAAAGGCGAGCGGGGGAACGATGTTTCCGACTGAGGAAACCTTCGCGGGATGATGATGATGATTGTTATTGTTATTATTATTGTTGTTGTTGTTTGTTGTTGTTGTTGTTACTTTTTTAAAGAAAAAGTTCCCCAGGACGAGAGAATTTCTGAATTTCACGGAATTCTTCTTGTGACCTGAACGCAAGGAAAACGCTGAAAACTATAGTAAAGCCCCACAGCAGGTTGTTCTCCTAGGAAATGACTGTTAATTACTCAAATCAGAAGAAAAGTATAAGATCAAGTAAAAAGTTGGTCACATTTCAGCCTCAGTCCTGGACTGCATCAACAGAGATCTCGTTAAATATTAGTATTAGGATCACGTTAACTATATATACTGCCTTGGTAAAGCTACTTAGAATAACAGCCCAGAATCATCTGAAATGGTATATAGGTCCTCCTGCTTGAGCAGGGGGCTGGACTAGAAGACCTCAAAGGTCCCTTCCAGCGTCTATTCTATTCTATTCTATTCTAATCATCTCAAGGTGAGATGGCCGGCAAATAAATTTAATAAATAATTTAAAAAAAGATTCCAGTTCTGATATAAAAAAGACACCAAGATTCTAGGAAGAGCACAGAAGAGCAACAAAGAAGAGCAACAACTATGATTAGACTATTAATACAATATTTGCCTGAATGAAGGCATAGTTTCTACCATGTCTCTTATGTATCTGACCCCATGTGGGTATTTTATAAAATGTAAGAAATCAATTATTTCACTGATTTCAGTACATATCTGCATCCCTTCCTAAGTTTGGGAAATAAATGTGAATGAGTTGTTTTCAAAAAAGAAAGGCTAAAGATACCTTCAAGTCTAATTCAAATCCTACAGATGATGTGAACAGTCATAAAATATTACATCCATTTGCTGCTGGTTTCTCACGCAACATTTTACAACTTCCCAGTCTGCAACCCTATACAGTAGTAGTTGCCATCTCAATACAAAGGTACTATTTGCACTAAGATACAAAAGTAGTCCTCGCTTACCAAATACCCGATTTAGCAATTTACAATGGTATAAAAAACAGCTTGTGACCAATCCTCACATTTATGACCACTGCATCATTCCAAGCCACATGATCATCATTTGTTTGTTTCCCAACTGGCTTTCCACAAGCAGGGTTAGTGAAGAACACAGTAGGAACATCTCAGGTTGCAGTCATGTGGCATCTCACTTAACAACCATAGATGATTCACTTAACAACTAAATACAAATGGAGGTTGTACGCCCATTGTGCTCCAGTTGGGGTCACATAATTTTAAAAGAATTGGAAAGGACCTTGGAGGTCTTCTAGTCCAGGGGTGTCAAACTCAACGCCTCTGAGCCGGATTTGGCCCGCAGGGCCACCCTGGAAACAGCGCGCTGGCCTGCATGCGGTTCTCACAAGCTCCGTTTTCGCTGGCAGAGTTGCAGGAGGCCATTGCAGCTGAAAACAGAGCTTGCAAGGGTTGCAGGTGGCCCTCCCAAGTTCCATTTTTCTTGATAGAGGGTTGCAGAAGCCATCACATATGAAAACACAGCTCAGGAGCCCATTTTCGCTGACAAAGTGCTCTCGAACCACCACAGGTGGCCGGACATGAATGACGATGAGCTGGCCATGCCCATACCAGCCCCCTGAGGTCAAACACAATCCTGATGTGGCCCTCAATGAAATCCGAATTTGACACCCCTGTTCTAGTCTAACCCCTTGCTTAAGCAGGAGATCCAATATCATTTCAGACTAATAGCTGTCCAATCTGTTTTTAAAACTTTCAGTGATGGAACACACACAACTTTTGAAGGCGAGCAGTTCCACTGAGTAATTGTTCTCACTGTGAGGAAATTTCTTCTAGGTTGGATCTCTCTTTAAGGTGTGTTGAAGAGGCGCCATATGGGGTTGGGGAGATTGTGCAGAGGGGCACAACGGTACAGGGAAGTGCAGCAAATGTTGTGGAAATTGTACAGGGGTTTATAAGTGTTAGGTAGGGAAATATTTTTGAAACAATGATAGGCTGTCTAGTTATTTTAATAAAGGCAACGGGTCAGCATCCTCCAAGGCAGCACATGTAGGCAGCAGGTTTGCAAGGAGGTGCTGAAGGGGAATATGTGGCAACCCAATCGGCTACTTTGTGCTGAACAACTATTCTTGCAATACATTTTCTGGCTATGAAAGGATTTGCATTTTGTGTCCAGGTAACTTTTTTTCTTAAAGTATCCACTTCCAGTCTATCCTAGTTCACTGGTGTCTAAGAAATCAAGGTGTGGTTGATTCATTTCAACATTCACTAGTTGAGTTTTCATGCTTCCTAGGTTCCTTGTTCCCATTGAACTTGCTGCTTCGGATTTTCTTTTCAGTTTTGGTAAAACCAGCAACTGGATGTGCCAAAAAACCCTCTGCCCATGCATCCCATGGGCAGCCTGCCCCAACTCAGAAGCTGACCAATGTCTGACCTTGGACAATGTTTGGCTGAGGTCCCTACAGGCTGTGGGCCAGACGATCAAGTAGAAAAAGAGAAAGCTGGCCCCTTTCTGCACGGTTGCCCCGAAAGGCGAGTCTTCACGAACAGCGTGGCTTCACACCACATTTAGCCATCGATTCATTTGGGACGGGTTTGCACAGAGGTGGCTTCTGCATCAAACCAACTCTGCAAATCCAGAGTATGCACCCGGCCGCGCTTGGCTTCCTCGGCAATGAACGGCGGATCCGAAATTAATCCCAGCCGCACTTCTGGAATTTTACTCCCGGAGGAACAGAAGGGGCTGCTTTATTCTTCCGCATCCCGGTCTTTCTCCCGGCCACGAGACCAAAGGCCTCTTCTTGCCTCCGCTTGTTCCACCACGCCTGGGGATAATCGGATTGGAGGAGCGGAAGGGAAGGGGGGAAGACGGGCGGAAAATCGCCGAGTGCCCGAGCATCTTAAGGCGGGGGGCCGTGCGATCGCTTGCGGGATGCGCAAGAGCAGGAGGCGGGGTTGGGCAGCCGAGGAAGCCGCTTCTCTGGAACGTCGGCTGATCCAGGTGAGGCGAGCGAAAGGGGAGCAGCGACCGGATGGATCGCCGCATTCGGGAGAGGGAGAGCCCTTCAATGCGGGCAATCAAATGGCCTGGGGTGTTGATTTATCCCGGCTCTGCCGCCGGCCGCCTCCTTGCAGAGCTCCGGGACGGGATCTTCCCGCATCTCAACCAGCAGAGGGAGCCTGTTCTGGCTCTACATCCCCGGCTTTGGGAGTGCGAACCCAGGAGGGAAACGGGGCTGGCGGGAAACCCGTTCGCTTCTTCTCTAAGAGCCTGGGAGCCTCGGCTCTCGTCTCCCTCTTCTTTTGCAATTGGGCTTGGCTTTTGGGATAAAGCTTGATCTCGAGCAGGTCCTCCCTGGCTTGCTTCGTTTTCCCAACTTCGCGGGAAAGAAGTGCCTCGAATCGCGGTGACTTTTTTTTTTTTACACCGCGATTAGAGCCATACGCCATGCGGCTGAGCTGCATATTGGGTCAATATTCATTTGGCTTTTTTTTTTTTAACGTGAGCTTTTATATGATAAAATATAATATTGTGGTCGCTCCCTTCCATTTTAGGGGCATGCACTGTTATGGGATTACAACTCATTTTGTCATAGATAGAATATCTGTAAATATATAACTTACATCAGTGTTTCTCAACCTTGGCAACTTGAAGATGTCTGGACTTCAACTCCCAGAATTCCCCAGCCAGCGAATGCTGGCTGGGGAATTCTGGGACTTGAAGTCCAGACATCTTCAAGTTGCCAAGGTTGAGAAACACTGATGTAAGTTATATATTTACAGATATTCTATCTATGACAAAATGAGTTGTAATCCCATAACAGTGCATGCCCCTAAAATGGAAGGGAGCNAACTCCCAGAATTCCCCAGCCAGCATTCGCTGGCTGGGGAATTCTGGGAGTTGAAGTCCAGACATCTTCAAGTAGCCAAGGTTGAGAAACACTGATGTAGATAACCGTTTGGTGAACACAGGCTGACAGTAAGGAGAGGCTTAAACACACACAAATAAAATTCATTAACATGATATTTAATATGTTATTACAATCATGCATTATCTAGGATTTTCCTTATTAAAATATATATTTTGCTTTTTATCCAGAGCTCAGGATGGCAGATATACATATCATTCCCTCCTATTTTACTCAATGACTTCTCAGATTGTGTTGACATAAATTGATCCAAAGTCACTGAGAGAGCTCCTATGGCTGATGACTGATTTGAAAAGGGGTCTTTTTGGTGCCAATCCAATTCCTTAACCACTGCATTACACTTCCTCTCATTGAAATGATTAAACACTTCTGAGAATTCTACTTATATTACTAACCTCAAAATAGTTTCTTCTTTAGAAAAGCTATACGGCCACCCGGTACAAATCAGTATAAAGCAATACAATTAAAAACAAATACAATAATACAAAATAAAAAAGCTGAGGCATCTTGCATATCACTCTCAATCTCCAAAGTCGCCTACAGTATACCAGGCTTCATTAACAACCCAGTCCTAACATCTGAGAGAAAAGCCAAATTTGGTGGTGAGATAGGCAGCAAAAAAATTAATTAATATTTTTACAGCCTTCTGAAAAGCCAAGAGGATCAGAGCTGTTTAGATCTCAAGGTCAGGTAGGGGATCTGTTCAGAAAAGACATGGTTTCACAGTGGGAACCAGAGTATGCTTACCCAGCCAAATCTAGTCAGGTGGGCAGAAAAAAAGAAAACTTGGTGGTCCTGTAGTAATATATCTCT